TCCAAAAATCATGTTTTACATGGAAGAAGCAAACATATAGATGTGAAGTTTTACTTCTTAAGGGATCTCACAAAAGAAGGTGTCATTGATCTCATCCATTGCAGAAGTGAAGATCAAGTTGTTGATATTTTTACCAAGTCCCTCAAGATAGCTACATTTCAGAAGCTTAGAAATTTGCTTGGCGTATATTCCTTGAAGACGTTGTTTGTGTGAAGGTGCTACAAGATTTTGGTAAACTGGATATTTGAATACTTTCAGTTTAAGGGAAGGAATGTTGAGTCACGTGGTTTGTTTAATTCAGTTTAAGCTTTGTCCAAGTCCTTAGGAGTTTGTTGAGTCCCTAGGAGTTTGTTGTTAGTAAAATAATGGTTTAACTGTTATTGTTACAAGTCCTAGTCTTTGGGCACTTATGTAGGAGTTAGTGGCTTTTATGCATATAGCCGTTTGATGTTCAGCTCTATAAATAGAGCAATTTGTTTTGGGTTTCAAATATACACAACAATGAAGCAATAAAAGGCATTGTCTCCTTCACTTATTGTTTTGTCTCTCTCTCATTTCTGCCAACAGAATTATGAAGGGACAAAAGATACTTTTATGACAAACTGCAGAGCGGCTACAAAGAAAATGGATGAAGACGGAGATATGGATTTTGATGCATTTAATATAGCTCGTCATTTATTAGGCAAAATGAAGGTTCATTTCATTTGAGGACATTTATGTGGCACTCTGAGGTGGATGTAGGTATTATTGAAGAAGTGCATCATATTAACTTGAGGCGGAGATATGTTGCTTTTATGGGCCACATAAGCTATCAACAGATATTAATTATTTGTTTTTTAAAAACTTGTTTTTATCTTTTGTGGGGAGAATATTTAGTATTTATCTTCTTTTTGTTAAGGGTGGTTCGGATATTTACTTTGGAGACATCAAACTTTTTCCATTTGTTCAGTAAATTTGGAATAACGTTTTTACTTAACGAGCATTAATCAATACTCACTTTTGTTTTTGTTATATGGATAAAATTACTAATCACAGAACGTGATATTTCCTTTAATGATCGAAAATTTTATGTTATGGTTTTAGTAATGATTTTTAGATTCCGTTATTTGCTCAACTGAAACTTTATTATATCACTTACATGATTATCATTTAAACTCAATATTACTTTATATGCTCATTATACCTTGTTGCTTTTCATAGTGGAGATAACCATTATAATCAATGAATTATGTCTAATTGTTCTAATGATTCTATAATCAACTTGCCATCTTTCAACATATAATTATTAATCCACTTGTCAACTTGTGTACTTAGAAGTGTTGAACCAAACTCTAATTGCAATAATACCAAACGGAACGTCGGAACCTAAACAATGAGAGCCCCCATTGTAGTGTTTTTTGTTATCCTAAAATTTTCATTTCCTTCTTTTATGATTTGTTCGTTTCCTTCTTTTATGATTTGTTGGCCCATATTTTTTTCATTTATTATGTCGCTTTCTATTGTTAGCTCATAATATTCTATTATGTTCCTATAATACATCTCAACAACTCGTCAACTGCATGAAACTACAGAGAGAGTTTTATAATGATCGTGTCCCTAGAACTACAAGAGAGCAATTTAATACTGGCTAAATAAAAAAAGAGTCTACATAGTGGAGATAAACTTTTAATAATAAGCTTAAGTGTGCTACTCACTTTGTAAGAATCTATCACATTCCAACATATCACCAGTCCACGTTTCGATCTTTGTACTTAGGCCCTGTTTGGTTGCATAATAACAAGGCTAAAAGTCTGACAAAAGCGTAGGCTTTAAGCCAAAATCGTCTCTTTAAGAGGCGATTTTGGCTTAAAGTCTAGCTTTTGTGAGGCTTTTGTCCTTTCTCTTTTGCAACTAAACGGGGCCTAAAAGTGTGAACATAAATCCACAGTAACCACCCTGCTCACTAAACACAAGCGAAAGCCTAAATAATTAGTCCCCATCGTAGTGTTTTCCCCCAGTGTCCAATAATTAGCTTCCAAAAGAACAGCCAATGAAAGGACCCTAATCTGACAAGTTGTGCTCTTTTAATTATTGATTTCAGTGTCACGTTGGAAGTGTGTTATAGTTTTGTCGGAAAGCTCAATTTAAAAAGCTTAAACCGGTTACCCTTTTCAAAGAAGTATTAAATCGGTTAACCTGTGAGGTAAAATTCATATTAATCTTCGACCCTTGATTATGTTTGTAAAATAAGTTATTAGAATCAGTTTCTTTGTACTTGAAAGAGTTAATCTTGACGTACTCCGGAGTTAATCTTGAAAGAGTTAATCTTTGTACTTGCTATAAAAAATTATTATGACATTAATCATAAAGACATTAGGCATTTTAAGCAGTTTTGCTATATTTTCATTCTTTTTAACAGTTTAATATTAAGTCAAACATATATGCAGTTTAGGTTGTATCGTTTCTGACTACTTACATATTATTACTGTTTTATTTTGTATTATTTTGCTACATTAATTTTTGTATTTTAGAGAAATCCGTGCATCGCACGGGCTTGAAACTAGTTCATATTAATCTTCGACCCTTGATTATGTTTGTAAAATAAGTTATTAGAATCAGTTTCTTTGTACTTGAAAGAGTTAATCTTGACGTACTCCGGAGTCCGGACGGTTGGGAGGATCCAATATATAGCTCTCTGGTCTTGCGTTCAATTCCGATTTGGATTATTTAATAATAATAAAAATGAAGAGTTACTCTTGACTCATTTAAAGTGATTGTCTCCTTCTAAACGGACTTACTTCCGTTTTTTATAATTTATCATAGTATAAGAAAATAAACTGCATTAATTCAGCTTATTCTATTATATGGTTTTTCTTTTCACTTCTTTTCTCTTTTTCTTAAATTTAATTTTTTAATTTTTTAATTTTTATTTGAGGGAAAACCTGTTAGATCAAGAAAAAATAAACTTTTGCTTTAATAGATAAACCCTAATCAATCCCAAGATTGCTCATGTCAAACTATTGAGATAATTAAGAATACCTGAATCCATGAAGTAGAATGTGATTCTTGAGTTTTTTGAGATGTAGTTTTTTCAAATCTCGTACGTATATATTCTCCTTAGGGCCTGTTTGTTTGCACGAAAGTAGAAAAGAAGTAACTGAAGTAGAGGAAGTTTCTCCTACTTCAAGTAAAAAATTATGTTTGTTTTTCCGAAAAGACTGCTTCAGCTACTTCCATAAATGCAGGTGTGGCGTCTAGGTGGCACTCCTACTTCCTAGATTTTTTTCGCCCTTGAAAGCTCAGAAGTAAAGGGGAATTGGATAAAATGCGGGGTCCACTTAAATTAGAGATTTACCAATGGCAGATGATCTTAAACAATATATCCAATTTTTATCCAAACAAATAAATAAATAAAAGATGATGATGAAGTACTATTTCCGCTATTTCTAAAATATATGAAACAAACAAAATAAGTACTGCTTCCGCTACTTTCTACTTCATATATAATTGAGGAAGTTATATATTTGATCCACTTCTTACTTCTAATAGTTACGTTCATCCAAACGGGCCCTTAGAGAAACACTAATCCTTCTGAAGATGGAAAATTAGAAAGAGATTATACGTAGAGATTTGGGGAACCACAACCCTATTTATAACTGAATCAGTTATTCATAATTATCAATTCATCCAATCATAGAGTTAACAATTATATTTTAGTCTCTACACGTATGAGGTCCATACTTTAATTATGCGTTAAAAACCCAAACCCTAAATTAGATCACTTTAATGGGTTAACCTCAATTGATAGCACATAATACATATCAATTTAATATATTGGACCATATATATTGGATTTAAATCCAACAAAACCCTCCTTAAGTTCTTAGTTAACTAGTTGCAAACAAGTCTCACATGGATGAATCTTTTGTCAGTTCATCAGCAACTCGTGGAAGTATTAGATTTCTTAATTCTTGGCTTTTGGTTTGGAATCAAACCGAACTCTGCCAAACCAATCATAGCTCCTCAGAAACATGGCTACAAAATTCAATTTTTAAAGAAAAGTAAATCCACAATCAAAGTTTCATCATCAATCTTGCTATGACTAATTAGGCCAATTATCTTTCTTTCAATATTTTATACGCACCGATGAATATCTTGGAAGGATTTTTAATACTAGCTTTCCCATTTAAAAAATACAAAGAAGATATCATGTAAACAACATCAAACACAAAAAGTGGGTACGTCTGCATAGGGGCTGTTTGGTTCATTTCCAAAAAATTATGGAAATGGATTCCCACATAAGAAACCTATTCTGTAAAAATTTTAGGATATCAAAGGAATCCAAAACTTTTGTTTGATATGGAAGGATAAAATAAGGTTTTAGGAAATGGTATCCAAAACTGCTGTTTGTTTCACCCTAAAAAAATCGAAAAAGCATCATGAGAGAAAAGCACCATGAGAAGCCGAGCTGGCACCCTCATTTCCAAAAAATTGCCCATTTCCGAGCTTTTAGACAGGAATTGGCCGTTCCAAAAAAAAAAACACTATTTGACAAGGTTTTAGGAAACCATTTCTTTAAAAAAAATAAAACAAACGTAGTTTTTGGATTTCTAAAACCACAAAAATGTTACTTTTTGTTCCAAAAACCGGGTTTCCCAAAAAAAAACACCCTTAAATAAACACGCCCATAATGGATGAAAATCTTTAATCCGTAAAGAGAAAAGAAGTACAAACATCCAATAATTTGCGGTGAATTCTATGAAGGCCTATCCTAATCATTATGCATAAAAGATTATACATCTTTTGAATTACTAGGCCAAACGTATGTTCAGAGAACTTATTAACTATATAAAAAATGTTCAATAATGCACATAAAGAAAAGGAAATGGGAGAGTGCATTAAAAGACGGTAATCAGAAGGGTTAGAATAATGAGAAGAAAAAAGAGTCAAAATTCTGAATTTAGGATGTTAACTCCGATCTAAGTATACAAACGATACAAAAAAAAAATAAAAACGTAGTTTTCACAATTTGTACGATATATGTTTATCTGAATAGGCAGAGATAACTGAGATGATTAATTTACACATTTAAAAATAATTTTACTAAGTATACACCCAAAAAAGAAAAACAAAATTTTACAATTCTCTTCACTTTTTTCTTTCTATTTTCTCTTTTTTCATTTCACACCACCCTTTCTGTTTCTTCGCAAAAACCCCTCCAACACGATCCGGTTCTTCTCCCCCTCCTCCCAATAGTACTCCCCTTTCCTCCTCATCTCCGCCTTCGCCACCGCCGAAACCGCCGTCCCTTCAGAAAACTCCGATGACCCCACAACCTTCCTCCGGCGAGGCACCGTACACAGCCACGTGGCAGTCCACAATATCGCGCACAAGCGACCACAAAAGACGACGACGAAGAGACTCATCAAGACGAGGAGGAGACCGGTGGCATATCCGTAGTTTTGTTGCGCCGGCGGGGGTATAAACGCCTTTTTCTGTTGTAGTTTCAATTGGCTGGCAGAAGAAACGCACGAGGAAGAGGAAGAGGAAAAGGACGAAGACGATAGAGAGGAGGAGAAGCTTATAACGTCCGTATTTTTCCCAAATGATTCGGAAGTCGAATTATTCTCCGACGAATCCGAGATTTCTCCCGATAGCGGGCGGGTAGAGTCTTTTGTTGACTTTGTTCTCCGATTCTGAAAGGAAAAATTAACGATGGAATAAAAATTAGTATTAATCTTAAGATAACTCAATATTCAACTTCAAAGTTTTGAGTTAAGGAGCAAACCAAGAAAATCAAAATCCCTACTTTTAAGGATCCGAATCCATCAATAACTAGATAAAATATAGTGTATATCCGAGAAAAAAAATATTATAAAGCAAATAAGTTAGCAGATTCTGAACTCAAAACTGAATCTTTTTTTGGTAATTTCACGATCAATAGAGAAAAAGCTGAAGTAAATTGATATTATTTTAAAAGTACTCATGAAGTTTTCAGTGGTATGAAATTATGATCCTAACTTGAAAATAATAAGTAACTCAAAAGTTAATAAGTAAAATCAAGGAAGTCATTAATAAGTCAATAAAATATTCATATAAAACATAGTCAATTATTCCCCAAAAAAATATAATCGTTTTAATCATAGAATTGCTACTTAATGAAGAAGCCGATCTGTTTGCGAAAAAAAGAAAAGAAAATCGAACTTTCGAATAAAGCAACAGTTGAAACTCAGATCGAGTCAAAATTCGGCAAATGAAGAAATATTTATGCAACTAACCAATGAATTAGACTTGAGCGAAATCGATCTCGCGAACTTCGACATCAACCGCCGGCGATTCTGCTTTCCGTTCCCGCCAACCTCCGGCAAAACCTTGGCCGGACTTTGTCTCTTCTCATCCTTCTCGGTGTCGTTGGTATCGGGTGGACCGAAACAGAGAAAGGATCCGACCCGCTTCATTTTCCTTGCCTTCGAGTCGACGAAGGCTGCTATTGGATTTTAGAATAATTTGGCAAAATGCGTTTTTATATAGAGAGGGCTATGAAGAGGTGCTGCCCGGGCTCTGCGCGTGCTGACCGAGAAATTTGGGTAGCGGTTATTAATGAATCACCCGCCCTGTTTATGTCTCATTCTAGCGTTTCGGGTAAATTACTTTTTTGACTAGTCTACCATTTCGTGTTTTCTGACTGAGGATTGCTTTGTATTTTAGTTCCTATAAAATTTTTATTTGGATCTGTATGGATTGTTAATAGAGATATTGGAAATAGAAAATCTCTTGAAAGAAACAATTGTGGATTTTAGTGATTTTAATTAATATGCCTGTCAAGTTCATTAATTTTGTAGTATCTCCAAATATTGCATATATGTAAATTCACACCAATAATCTCTCAAGAGGCTACAATAACATTGGATTAACTGAAAAGAAAATACATTATAATTTTGACAGTTCAGTGACATCATAATGTCTCACAAGAAAACAATATTTTCTTAAAAATTGATGGATGCATCCATCTTTCAAGGTAGTGAATTTTTTTTTTATTTGATATTACTTGTAATCTCTAATTAAAAACTTACGTATGTTGCTTTTATTATGATATACTAGTTGGATTGTACGTGCAATGCACGTGGTAAATTTTTAAATAAATTTCATTAGCAAACAAATATCATGTCAGAACAGAATATGTTTCAAGAGTAATATAACAGGACCAACCACCACGAGCAACAAATGAGAAACATATACATATACACACCAACATAGCAATTAATATCATGTACACTTCAGCTTCACCAGCCAAAAAATCCTTGGAACGACTTAAGGATGGAAGGCATTATGGCAAGAGCCACCTGCAAGCAACATAGTTTATTCAACTGTCTGATATGTGTTGCCAGTAAAATTATAGTTACTTCCATGTAAAAATATGAAAGGATGAAAGGCATATGTTTATATTAATGAACAAAATCTGGTACTAAGAAAGTTAACTTAAAGCACATGTCCAAATAAACTGTATTGATATATAGTGTGAACCGAGTAGCATACTTTGATTTGCACATAAAACCTCATGAGGAAAGGTAACGAAAATAAATGAGAGCATATCCAACAAAACATCCTGCATAATAGTTTAACTGGCCATTACAATGATAAACAAAAAGCATCCTTATAACTGCCACGGGCAATTAGAGCCTTACAACTATATACAGTAGGTTCATGAGCTCAAAATACTCTGCGACTGGCTGCGAGTTCTTACCGTAGCCCCTGCATTCCTTCCTTTTGTTTCAGAACGAAGTGAGCAAGTGCGCGAAGGTTCAGAAGATCGATTACTTGATTTTAGGAAAAGGTCTAGATTCTTCTGGTATTTCTCCGTGTCTTCAGAACTCACCATTGAATCATGTTCTGAAGACCCCTTCTCAAATGTTTGTTTGTCTTCTTCGTCATCAGACCATTAACCGTTGTCTTGGCTATCTCGCATGGCTAGGTCTTCGTACTCTTCATCAGACTTGGTTGAGTCTTCATCAACGGAGCCCTCCATTTCCATTATATATTAGGAAAAAGCAATCAAACCAGCATATATTAGGCAGTGATTCCATTATTCTCATTCGAAAACACTGTTTGGCGAACTACTATCCTTAAAGTTTTTTTAATCAAACTATCAGGAGCAAGTGTGCTACTTTTTATTTACTTATTCACTTACTATCATTTAAAGAATTTACTACAGAAAGAGCAACTACTATAAGTTACTGCCCTTCATTTATTTACTTACTATCTTGATGCTAAAAATAATTTACACTGAACATCTCATCTGGTAACAAAAAGGGTCTTGAATTCATACCTCTTCAAATATAATTTCTTTCTTGTCTCCGTTGCTTAAATCATCGTCATCACTATATACATCAACTGGGTCGTCATCTCCTTCTTCTTTGCTGTCTGACACTGATAAATCTTCCTTAAGCTGGAAAAAAGAGAGGAGGTGAATAAAAAATAAGTCACAAAATAATAATTACAACAATCAGAAGGTAAACAGTAATCAGGGAAAGTTTACAATCCTGCCACAGACAAATTAAAATTTAATTGGAATTTTCTGTCATCTAGCAAGTAGTTACATCATAAAAAGGTGACATCTAATGAGATCTGGTCGTGTATAATCCAGTCTATGGTAACACTTTGTTATCAGTGAAAACAAATGGTATGTTTATTGAAATTGATTGTTAATAAAGAAATAAAATTAACAAACAAATGTATATTTTGAATACCTTTCGCAAGGAGGGAGCTCAGAACAAAGTTGCAGACGATAGACATAGAATCCAGATTTCGCTAGGAGGGAGCTCAGAACAAAGATGCAGATGATAGGCATAGATCTTAGTCAATCCACACACATGAAAGCCATCATACAGAAATATTTGGCATTACACTTTTGAATAACATCTTATAGAATTTGTCCATAATTTGAATCCTTTTTTTCAAAGACTCATCAACATAACATTGTGTCGAGATAACCCAAAAATATTTCAAATGCATTTTAAAAGTAATAAAGTCAAGTATTTGTTAAATATGTAGTTAGCTTGACATAATTGAGCGATAAGTTTAAGCTAATAATTGCCAAAAAAATCAAACCATGCAATATTTATGTGACAACTATATGTGCATATGGTTATAATTCATAAATTATTCTAACAAATAACATTCATAAGTTAATCCTCATAAAAGCATACGAAAAGATAAATAAAATTCCTTCAACATATTTGTAAATGTATTGAAAATTTAAAATTGTTCATGTTAAATTTTTTTTTCGTTGATCATTCCTTCTCGACCTTTATCTTCTTTTTTGGTAATTCAAGAACTGCATCATCGTCTTCAATGTTGATTGTGTTGTCTTCTTGGAGTTGAATTTCTTGTGCTATTATCTTTCCTTGTGCCCGTTCATCCTTTGAGTTTTCATCTAACTTCACAAGGAATGTGTATATCTTTTTAATGTTTAGCACAAACTTTTGGAATAACGAACTCTGATTATTTTTCTGTTTTAACGAGGAAACAATTAATTAATTATACATGAAACATATGGTTTTATATGTTTAAAATATAATAAAGTAAGAAGTTACCTCTTTTATATCAGCCATGAATATTTGTGCCTTGCATCCTATAAGAGTTTCTGTTGCGTCAAAAAGTGTCACTCTTGCAGAATCCGTCTCATCTTCAACTATGATTTTAACTACATACCTACATTTTGTATTATCATTGTGCATTAGATGATATTTGCATAATTAATTTTTATATTTTTCTTTTATGAGTAATTGATAGTAATTTACCTTGGTATACTGTCTTCATTTATATTTTGGCAATTTTGACATTTGTCATAAATAGAATTTTCAACCTTTTTGTTGCAGCCTTTGCAAGAGTATATTTTGGCAATTTTGACATTTGTCATAAATAGAATTTTCAACCTTTTTGTTGCAGCCTTTGCAAGAGTAGTACCAAGTCTCATGCCTATTTAAGATAAATAGAATTTTCAACCTTTTTGTTGCAGCCTTTGCAAGAGTAGTACCAAGTCTCATGCCTATTTAAGATATTAGTTATTTTTCCCATAAAGGTGCCATATTGTGCCTGTATATTTTTTAAAATTTAGTTAGTTATAATTGTAGTTTATATATATGTAAAAATAAAAGAATTGATTCAATAAATGTAAATGTAAATAAAACAAATATGAAAATTATTTTAAAAACTAATATAAAAAAATAATGTAAAATCCAGTTGAAAGATATTTTTGATAACTTTGAGATATTTAAAATTTATATGATTATGGAAAAAATTTAACCATTAAAGTTAAGAAATCACTTCATGTTAATTTTATAGGTTAAAACTTGAATCAAATTTATTTATCTTATCTTGTTTTTAAACTGAAGCCCTTGATTCATTAATATTTTATAATAGAATTTATAATAACATACCCCTGAAGTTGTTCGTGATGCTTGGATAATTTCAGCAATTTTCATTTTTGATAAAATTTTGAATATCTTTGATGGAGGAATAATGGTCTTGATGTCATCTTTGGAATGAGCCCTGCATACAAATTTAAAATTTTAGAAATTTAATTTATTAAATAACATTTTATTTGGAATTATCATTCTTGCATGTCCTTAGCAAGCTGTATTTCAGGGTTGATGCATATTGTTGACGCAATTTGCGAAGTCATGCTCATCTCCCCTGAATATTTCATAGTTATAATTAGAATTTGATATTTATTGATAATTAATTTTAAATTTAATAAGAAAAATATTTTACCTTTGTACAATGAAATTTTAAAATCTGATAATGCTATTATAGTTGTGTCATTAATATTTTCTTTGATAATTGAGCCTTCATTTTTAGCTAAATCTCCGAATAAAGTTACGCACAATGTTATCCCACTGTTTAAGAAAAAGAAGACATTTTTTGTTAATATATTATATTTTTAATAACTAATTTATTTTGAAATAAAAGCATGTGTGTATACTCTTTATCTATTATGATGATGTCTCTCCTTGTGTCCTCCTTATTATATCGTGTAACGTACTTGATCATAGGCTTCACATTGGCTACTATTGCAAGATCATCTGCACAAAAATTTATAACAAGTTTAAAAATCATTTATAAGTTATAAAATGGAAAATTAAAAGTTTTTTACAAATTCTTACTAATATTCCTTGTATCCTCCCTGGAAATTGCCTCCTTGATTGAGATGAAGTTGTTCAAGATTTTGTCAAATCGGAATTCAGCTTTTGATTCTTTGATAGAGACGTTCTTATTCAATGTCAACTCAATTGACTCATGTACATTTCCGTAAAGCGGGTTGATTTGTTTGACTTCTCCATTTGAGATGTAAACAACTTGGTTCTTCTGAAGCATGTGCTTATACATTTCAATAGTTTCTCCAAACATAACACATTGTATTTTTTGTCCCTGCAAATATTACTAATATTATTTCACAAATAATTAATACATTAACATTCATTTAAGCCAATAATAAAAAGATTGTATGGATTTATATATTGTCAAACTCTGCATTATTTTATTAAAGTGACATCGTAATTTACATTGTACAATAAGATAAATAAGATAAATGATAGGTGATATAAGTCATTTTAAAATTTAATAAATAATTCTATATTATTATAATTTACAAATCTCTATAAGTTAAATATTTAAATTAGTTTGATCATCCAACTTATTATTAATATTTAAATTAGTTTGATCATTACGTAGAATAAGTTTAAGAAAATGATATTTGTTGTTAAAAATTTTTGAAAATGAATCAAATGTTGTTGTATAGCCTCTTAACTAAATGCGATATTAATTTATTTAAGAATAAGCATCAACAATTATCAATAGTAATATATTATGTAGAATATTGCTACATCACCTCTGAGTCGGCGAAAATTAGTTTAAGTAGTTTTCCTTAACCTTTACTGTTCTCATAAGAGGATTCAATAGTTCTGACTTCTGAGGATGACTACATGAATGGTCCACTCTTTTTGAAACAATAAACTATAAACTATTCAAATAGCAAATAACATTTTTGAAGGTTATGATTTTATAATATTAAATATCTTAATTTTCATAGTAGTGAACTTTTTTTTATTTGATATTACTTGTAATCTCTAATTAAAAACTTACATATGTTGCTTTTATTATGATAGATTTAGTAGTAATTATACTATTTTTAATGGTTCATACGATTATCAATAAATTTAGGGAATTATTTCAAGCAGTAGTGGTGACAAAAAGACAATAGAAGTATGCCTTAAAAAGGTTACACTATTTTATCTACTTTTGGAAATTATTAAGCCTATTATAGATTAAAAAAATGTAGGTTTTCTTCTGCAAATTAAGGGGGTGCCTGTTTACAGAGAAGTGAAAGATGAAAAGCAATAAAATATCTTGTTTTTAACATTTTAGATATTTATTTGCATGTAAGTGGTTACAAAAGTGAAATGCAATAAATTTGCTACATAGGATTTACTATAAATTTAATTTTTCCTCAAAAGGTGGTGAAGTCACAAGAAAGTGATAAAAATGATAATGTACTACTTTTAATTAAATAATTTTAACTATATTTATCAATTAATCATATTTTTCCACATCATTTTCACTTTACACTTTTAACAATAATTTTATTTTTTTAACAAACAATGTATTTTGCTTGCATGCTAACATGGTTATGAAAGTTACTTAAAAAAAAAGCAACGTGCATATTTTTAATTCACTTTCGAATTGCCAAACATAAAAAATTCTCCTTAACATACTTTATTAGATGAAACTTATGAACTTTGCCACTATTTTTATTTTTTAAACAAACAATGCATTTTGCTTGCATGCTAACATGATTATGAAAATTACTTAAAAAAAGCAACGTGTACATTTTCAATTCACTTTCAAATTGCCAAACATGAGAAGTTCTCCTCAACATACTTTATTTGTATTAGGCAAAACCTATGAATTATACCCCCCCACCCCACTCCTCTTGGGTCCCAAAAAAAACCAACCCACGCAAACAAATATCACACAAATATTCCTCAAATATGGTTGGACTGTAATATGTAAAAGTTTACAAGGACTATTATTTAAAAAAACATCAACCAGTTTGTAATTTCGAGGGCATTATGGTCTTTGAATCTTGTAGAAATCCTTTGTTCTTTATCCGTCCTTGTCAAATTTAAAATTCACATGAATACCGTTGACTTGGGTAAACTCTTATCGGGTCGGGTTTGACCCTAAGTTCACGGTCACGGGAAGTCCGGAATGGATTTGGGCCCTTTTAGTTTTCATCCGCAAATCCCTTCGTTTGCTTTTCTTCCACTGACTTGACTGAAACGGTGGTCACGCGCTTTTTCTCACCCTCTAGCTTTTGCAGGACTACTTGGAAATATCCTTATCCCGCAAGGACAAATTTTCAGGAAGCACGTAATTCTGGCATGCAATAATCCTAACAAGATGTAACCTCAAATTTGGCAATTTTAGCTGTCTACCAACAAATCATCTATATTTGTCAAAATACCCCCAAATCCTAATATTAAAACGCCCCTCAAACCTTGATATTTTACTAAAATATCCCTTATATCTTCAACAAAAATAAGGAATCTTTTGAAAAGTTTCCTTTGGTGCGTCCTAGCTCAATGTTGAAGATTTGTGGTTATTTTAATAAATATCAGAATTTGGGAATTATTTCAGTAAACATAGATAGATGTTTTGCTTAGTAGTTATTTATATTTATTAGGATTTTCTTACGTTTGGTGGGTGGTGGTTTTTTTTTGGGGGGTGGGGGTGGGGGTGGAGGATGAGGATTGCCAAATGATAATCTAAATGTTGCGCGCCTTTGCG